CGTTACCCTTGAGCCAATAGCTTCAGCTGCATCTGTGCTTAGCGCAGAAGAAAAAGAAGCTGGTGTAGCACTAGTAGACATAGGTGGTGGTACGACAGATATCACAATATTTAAAGATGGTATCATCCGTCATACATGTGTGATTCCTTTTGGTGGCAATGTGATCACTAGAGACATACGTGAAGGTTGTACAGTGATGAACGAACAAGCAGAAAAATTGAAGATCAAATTTGGGTCTGCGATGGCTGACGAAATCGTTGACAACAGAATCATCACTATACCTGGGTTCAAAGGTAGAGATCATAAAGAGATTTCAGAAAAAAATCTAGCAAGGATCATTCAGGCTAGGGTAGAAGAGATTTTTGATTATGTACTTTGGGAAATGAGAAGATCAGGTTTTGAAAATAAACTTATCGCTGGTGTTGTGTTAACAGGTGGTGGTTCATTGCTCAAACATATTGACTTACTTTCAGAATATCATACTGGATTGCCTACTAGAATTGGTAAACCGATCGAGCACTTAGCGCATGGATATACTAGTCAGTTAGCTAGTCCAATATTTGCGACAGCGGTAGGATTGCTTAAGCATACGATTGATAGTTTCGGAGACAAAGGACATTATGTAGAAGAGTTCAAGAAGATCACAGAAGAGCCAAGGTTCTTTAACAATAGTCTTCCGCCTGTTCAAAACAATGTGCCATCGATGAATCAGGAAGCTCAAGACGAAGAAGAAATGGAAACAACATCTTCTGACAGTCCTAAGAAAAAAGGGATATTCAATAAGCTTTTCACATTGACTAAAGACTTTTTTGAAACAGTTCCAGATTCTGAATTCTAACCATCCTTTTTATTTAACCATCAGAAATTTTGAGATATGAAGTTCGATATACCAACAAGTGAAAAATCCATCATAAAAGTCGTAGGTGTAGGCGGTGGCGGTGGAAATGCCGTAGGTCACATGTTCAGACAAGGGATCACAGGAGTTGATTTTGCTATCTGCAATACAGATGCACAGGCGATGGAAACTAGTCCTGTGACAACTAAGATAGCTTTGGGGCCAAACCTTACAGAAGGTAGAGGCGCAGGAAGTATGCCCGAAGTAGGCAAACAGTCATGTATAGAGTCTATAGAAGATATAAGAAGATGGCTTTCCGACGGTACCAAAATGTTGTTTATCACTGCAGGAATGGGTGGTGGCACAGGTACAGGAGCAGCACCGATCATTGCTAAAGTAGCAAAAGAAATGGAAATACTCACAGTAGCCATTGTGACATTACCATTCAAATTTGAAGGACTAAGACGTCAGCGTCAAGCGCACGAAGGGCTAGAGCAACTAAAGAAAAATGTAGATTCTATATTGGTGATTTCCAATGACAAGATGAAACAAATACATGGTAATCTTGCACTTTCATCTGCATTCGGTCAAGCGGATGATATCCTTACGACTGCCGCAAAAGGTATCGCAGAGATCATCACAGTGCCAGGATATATCAATGTGGATTTTGAAGACGTCAATACAGTCATGAGAAACAGTGGTGTTGCCATTATGGGTAGTGCTACTGCTGATGGTGATGATAGAGCTCGCAAGGCTATCAATGCTGCGCTCAACTCGCCACTACTTGAAGATAATGATATCAGAGGTGCACAACATATCTTACTGAACATCACTTCTGGCACAAAAGAAGTTACGATGGACGAAATAGGAGAAATCACTGAACACGTCCAAGAAGAGGCAGGATATGGTACCGATTTGATCTGGGGTAACTGCAAAGATGAATCACTTGGAGAAAAAATTTGTATCACACTAATCGCAACAGGATTCAGAGAAGGTGGATCTAAAAAAGCAGAGAAGGCAACTGAACAAGTCAAAATCTCCCTTGAGAATGACAGAGTACACCAAGTGCCAAATGATGATGATTTTAATATTTTTGACTTCGAAGATATAGCAGCTGACAATGTGATTGATTTTGACAATGATGATGTCAAAAAGACAATCAATATGTTAGGTGTGAAAACAAGTGATCCTTATGTAGAGCGTAATGGAAGATTAACAGAAGAGTTAAAAAAGAAAAGTGAAGCAGATGCAGCACGAAGAGAATACCTGCGCAAAACAAACAGCAAGCCACTAGACAATCCAAAAATAAACCGAATCAACCTATTATCACAATTTCAAATGATTTATTACTAGACCATCAATTAAAAGTTCGCTTATCTTATTTTTAACCCTTACATCTCACTCGAAATCAGAGTATTAGTATATTTTCAAACAATAAAAAAAGGTCCAGGCGGGGAGCCATGGACCTGTAAATTAATAAACCAATCTCACAAAGTTTATAAATAAAGACGAAAATCCAAATACTATTGGTCAGTTAAAAACCGACGTTAATCCATATTGCAGGATTATATTTATTGGATTCTATCTACTTCAGGTTGTGAAAAAATTAGGGTCTTTACTTACAACATTATTATGAGAAATCGAAAATTGAGAAATTGAAAAATTGAGATAATAATCTGAAAATATCATGGGGGAAAAATGGTGGTGAACATACCTATACTCACCACCTTGTTAAACTAAAACT